GAATGTTTTAGTTACACATCACACATACAACATACACACACATTGAGATTCTTCATTTTGTTATGACTAGGTAATACACAGCTGCTCCAAGCATGTGGAGCTCTAGATAAGAGATGGAGTCTGTTGGATGGACTTCATCTGTGTACAGGCTTAGCCCACAACTGATAAATGTATTAGGACAGACTTATTCATTTACTTTTAAGGACCTTTGGCTGGAGGATTATTTGGGTTGGGCACAGCGATGTGACACTTGCGGCCTAAGTAAGTAAATAAATAAATAAATGTTTTCTCTGCAAGTTGGCAAATTATTGTTAAAAGTCACCCTAGGATTTTATGCTCTTGAAATGTGCTTGGTGTAGGGATATTTAGTGACAGGACTTGATGCATTACCACTGTAGTCCTTAACTACAATGTATGCTGCATGAGAGGAAAAAAACACAATGGTTTTGGTGGGGTGGGGGACCGTGGCATACATGTGAGCCATTTTATGACCGTGTATGGTTTCTGAAGATGATGGTGTGCTTGGAAATCGCTTTATATAACAGACTTATATTTTATTTCCCCCCAGTTTATACATTTATTTCATTAAATTAAACCAGATGCCTCCAGGAGCTTGTCTAACAGCTAAAAATGTAAATCGGGTTTGTATTAATCTGAAGATGGATCTACTGTATATAGTATTTTCCATCTCAAATATCTGCTCAGCATAATGTGATGCCCTGACATTATGTTCTGGTTGGAAAGGAGAGAAGTGTTCTCAAGGGAACAGCTACTGTGCCCACCTCATGGCTGTTGTAGACTCACTTCATGACCTGATGTGTTGTGCATAATTGATTCCTGTATTTCATTGCGAGCAAGCGTGCAAATGCAGTGGTGCAAATGTACATACATAGGCGCTCTCAAACAATACAGCTAAGGTGGTAATTGTTTCAAATGAAGTAGAAGCTATTTGTTTGTGAAATTGCTCTTTATGATGAAGTACAAGCCCTTTAGCTGTGTATGGCTGACTTAAAATCAAGATTTCAGGCATGACAGCTTTTGGTTTTGTTTCAGACATTTACCACAGCTCTCTGGCCAAAGCTGGCTGAGATGAAAGCCACCTGTGATTAGCCACAGGATGCTGTCCTGCTGGTCCAGCTCTGGGAGCTTCACTGCTTCACACTGTTGTAACCTACAGATTAACATTTATGGCTCAGTATGTGCTGCTGGACTTTCTGGGTCAACACCAAGTGGAAAGATTGAGGAGTGGGCCTGACTTTGTAACAGTGCTGCTCTCCCTGCGTGTTGCGGGCTGAGCCTGGCAGGGAGAGCCAAACAGAAATGTGCCTGGCTCTGTCATAGGGAGAACAAAATGGAAATGCATTGTGCTCTCGGCTTGTGAAAACTGCTCTGAGTCAATACCTGGGCGCTGTCTAGGTTCAGCCTTCATGAAATACAGACATTCTACTCCAATTCAGGAAATGTTCCATGTTTATAGGCCATTACCTGATAAAATCTTTGTCACTATAATACACATAGTAAGATTTGCTTTGTAGTTCATCATAATATATTGTCCAGCTCACCTTAAAATGTTCTATCCCCCGTCAAACGATACAGTTGCACTTATATTTTATCTGTTTTGAACTTGGTGTTATTTGATATTAAAATAAATTTGAAATTTAAAAATTGGCCGATTTCTTTATTATTTATTATTATTTCTTTATTATTAAGTGGGGCTTGAAAATTCACCCACCCTCTTAAGTGGGGAATGACAGAAAATGTTTGAGAACCACTGGTTTAACAGAACCTGTAGGTGCAGAGGTTTTGGCGCGACAGGACACAGTTAGACAGTTAGCTGACGTTATATGAATTCCATTCAAACAGTTCACAATCGGCGCTACGTCTGTGATATTTGCTGGACAATACATCAGATAAAGTGAGTTTTCTTTCCACAACATGGCGGAAGAATGTGAGTGCATTCTAGGAGAGGGTTTTTCGCATCTTACTGTTGTTTACAACATTCTCCAAAACAATCACGTCATGAGGGACCTGCGCCGACACCTCGACTGTTGTGATTGGTCGGGCTGCCATACGTAGCAACACCCTGCGTCAGTACGTCATAATCTTGTCGTCCCCATCTGCTAATGCGACTGAGTACAGTTCAGATTTGTGCTGTTTTGCGGTCAGACCCGGTCATACTGATGTAGTGACCAGGGTGCTCAGTCCGACGTTAAGCCGACGCATTCAGATGCCGTCAGGTTAGTGGAAAGGAGTGCGTGTCTGGAGGTGGATGGGTTCAGGTGCTTACAGGAGACAGATGTGCAATGTGATAATCATAAACAGACCAAAATTATTTCTCATAGCTAATACCTTTTTAATGACTTCCTCACAACTCATTAGCATGTTAACATAACTACCAGGTAATTTTTCCTGAGTCTTGTAAATGTTCTTGATTTGTTCTTGGAAAATAATAAAAACTAAAGTTACAAAAGACCCATTGCTACCAGCTAAACCAGGTCACTGACCTGTACTGCAGGATGTGAGAGGGTGGTGGACAGAGATGGACGTGACCGAAGGCAGAGGTGGCCGAGTGTACAGGCCGGGCCGGGCCGAGCGGTCAGTCAGACAGAGAGACTGGTGGAATAATGATGAGGACAGGGATGCAAATGAAACAAGGAGAAATGGCACCGAGGCGTCAGACGGACTGAAATGCAGACATGTATGTTACACTCTGACTGTGACGAAGACAAAGTCTCATGCCATAATGTTGATATTATTGATATGTTGCCAAACTATGCATTTTATAGTAACCAAAGCCAAACCGAGGACCTTCTCATCAAACAAATACAGACTCCTCATGTTAGTCACAGTTCATCACTGACCAGCTGCAGTAGAGGGCCACTGATCTAACTGTCCACCACCACGTCCTGTATAAAAGGTACAAGCCAGAAAATGGTCAGAAAACGGCCTCCAGGGACAACGCCTTCTAGCACCGTATTAACTCTACCATTCGTTTTACATTTGTTAGGATACAAGAGGAACTGCAGCTGCAACTTTGTAATGGGGTGAAACCGTCCACAGTGGCTGGTACTTATCAGTGCGTGTTGGACCACATGTGTGTGCTGGTACCTGGAAGCAGATGGGCTGGTGGATGTCCTGCACTCTGAACTGCTTGAGGAAGCGCTCGTCCTGGCTCCAGAACAGCCTGATATCCGGGATGCTGTACAGGACCATGGCCAGTCTCTCCAGTCCAAGGCCGAAAGCCCAGCCCAGCTTGTTGCCTGCCCCTGCTGCAGAAACACAACAGACAACTAGCTATTAACATGCATACTAACAGTAGTAGTGCTTCAGTTGGTCGGTGTCCATCAGAGGGCTCCATCTGTGGTTTGTGCTGTCAGTCACTCTGCTGGAGCCTGGAGTTTTTCATTTCAGAACTAAACTCTTCAGCTGCTTCAAGGCAGGTCGAAACAAAGGGCAAACGCCTGGCGGAATAAAGGATTATGGGTAATTCCAAGGATTTCAGGCATTTCCAGCATGGGACCCAGATGTGAGAGAAGTGGTTTGTCTCTCTGGGATGACACTAATTGAGACAAACCTGCCTCCTCTCTGATGTGCTGACCCTCCAGAACCTAAGCCCGTGACCTCTGTCTGGGTCATAACCCGCTGTTTAAGAAACAGAATGGAAAATAATTCCACCAAACATCTGGGATTTAATTGTGAAGGTAACTTCAGTCAAAGGAAATGGATTTTCTTTAAAAACCAGCTTGAGTTTTTTTCCCTCTTATTCAGCTGTACACTAGTTTCCATACATAAAGACATGTTTGTTGTGTCTCTGTTCGTACTGATACCACCAGAACTCAAACTGCATGTAACTACAGAAACAAACAGTTCCGAGTTTAAATCAGCTGCTCCACATCTGCTCGCAGCAAAGAAGAAGAACCAGACAGATCTCTGACGACAAACACAGAGTTCAACAGTGAAACCTACTGTTTCAAAATAAAAGTCCACAGCTCTGGGAGGCTGGACTAACTGTAGGCACACTGGTGCTTTGAGCTAAATGCCAACGAGCGCAGTGACAACGCCAACATGCTCAGCACGTGGTTATTGCACCATGTTCACCATCATTTAATTCCTTTAAGGGCCTTGTGGGCAGTTTTGGACTGGAGGTGTGTTAACGTGTCCAACCAGCTTCGCTCAGATGGAAACCTGTGCAGCATGTGGGCTCAGGTTTAGTGGGTGTGCTGTGTGTCACTGTGGAACGAACACACAGCAAGGTGCCGCCATATTGCAAATCTGTAGAAACAATTAGCTTTGTGGCTGTCACATCCATCTCAGAGGAGTAGGGGCTGTAATGTGGACGTTTTTTAAAAATATTTCTGCATGAAGGGCTTCGAATGGCTCCGCACTAATGGACAAACATACCCACAAGTGCACAAACACACACAGTGGGAGCGTGAGCTGGAGGAAGGATTACCTGCTCTGATTGGAAATGCTTCTGCTTATTATGATGATGTGTAACCTGGCTGCCCCCCACCTCTTTGTAGGTCTGTGTATGAGCGCACAAAGCGCAGTGCACGCAGACAGACACATACTTCCTCCTTTACATCCTGGTCTCATTGGTCCCGGTCCAATCAGCAGCTGGGGAATGTGGTTTCTATGCTAATGAGCGTGGGGTCGAGGGTTTGCGGGAGCCGAGGGAAGATGCCGGAATAAATCTCCGCTTCATGATAAGGCACAATCAATCAGCTGGGTGACCCCTCTCATCATCTCCTCTTCCTCCAGCTCTCCTTCATCCTCGTCTCCTTCACTTCTCTTTTCTGTTTCACTACATCGTCTAGGCTTTTCTCTCCCTCAGTCTTTCATTTGTTCTTTCTTTCTCCATTTGTTTTTTCAGCAATCTTCCTCACTGTCCTCCTCCTCTTCCTCTCCCGTCTTGTCCACCTGTGGTCATTTTGTCAACAGACTGATATCAGGTCACCTGTCACAATGCTTAATGCACATTTCAAATTAAGACTGGACCTAGGTGCTGGATGATGGCTGTCAGCTCCTACTTTCTCCTTTCCTCTTCCTGTCCATCATAGCTTCCTATTAACCCGCCTCCTTTCCTTCGGCCCTCCTGCCATGTGGTCTCAGCTCCCCCCTGACAAAACCTGATTTTTCATTTGTTTCTCTTCCTCCACCTCTCCCTTCATCTGTCTCCACTCCTCCTAATTACATTTCCCATGAAAATATTTATGACTGCATTATTAAAGCCTGCGTGGCGGCGGCTGTGGTTTTAAGCTGCAGGATCATGATTAAGCGTAGTGATTACATAGGCAGCTGTGACAGTAAACACCACTTGTAATTAGACAGGGTGCCTGCAGGTCTTTGCAAGTGAAATGGAGAATTAATGTGTTTGAGATTTACCCAGTAAATGACTAACACTGTAGTGTCACGTTTAAATATACCGATGTTCTTTGCCACATACAAACGTTCTGTGTAGTTCTTTAAAACTTCTCCTTCCTTGGATTAAAAGCTGAGGTTAATTAGCACCATCTCAGCTGAAATATCAACATAATGAGCTAGCTGCTGAGAGCTGTTAAATGAAAAGTTTGTGCGTTTACTACACACCTGTATTTTTTAAAAATGTCAGCTGCAGAAGCTTTATTAAAAACCCGCAGTGTAGTTTAATAAACCTGTCTCTTTGAGCCTCGGTGGGAAATGACACTATGCTGTTGAAACGACCTATACAAGGTTTCGCAAGAGTCCCAGTTCCTCACATACTATGTAAATATTAATACTAGACAGTTAGTACAAGTACTGACCCTAACAATAGTCCTAAATACTTTCAGTTAGCATCCAAGAACTTCATCTACTGCACAAAGCTCCAAACTGGAGAGGAGCTTTAAATGAGCACAGGAGTAAAAACACTCACAGTCACATTCACAGCGCTTCAGTTGTACTAACTAGTATGCAGTACATGGCTATATCCTGAGGGCGTGGTGTAGTTTCTTCTCTAAATCTGAGGTTAGCAGAACAGAACTGGTTTAGCACTGGCAGGTGTTGGACTGGTCTATCAGCTGGGCCTCTGGGAGTGTCCACACCAGAGGAGGCTTAAAGGTGGACTGGCCAGTAAACCAGTAGAACTGGTCCGCACAGTGGAGGTCGGGGGCACAGGACTGGCCTGTAAGCGTCAGACGTACCTGGATGAGTGTAGTACTGGTTTGAAAACTGGAGGCCGTAGGTGTAAAAATGATAAGTGGGAGGCAGCCCCCCCCCCCCCAACAGGCCACACAACACAACACACAGTGAGGACAGAGCTGTGTGTGTGTTTGTGAGCGGTGGTGTGATGAGACAGCCCCCTGACCTCTGCAACGCCAGGCCCCCTCCCTCAGCCTCAATGTGTGCAGTGGTGACAGTGATGGAGCAAAGCGTCCACAGAAAGAAGCAACTTATAATCAAACGCCGTTTGATTCATCGTTCCAGCCCTGTCGTTTGCATGGCCTGTCCACTTATTGCACCAGGTTTCTGCATAAAGGCACCGAGTTGGCAAAGGGGTCAGTGTTGATTCTCCTCCTTTCTCCATCAGAGGCAGTGAAGTGGTGCAGCAGTTCAGCCTCTGTGTAAAAGGGGAGAAGTGGCCTGGGGGGGGTTGTGGGCGGAGCCGTGTGAAGTTTTGATCAAGTGTTGTTTCTGCAACACACCAGCAGGGACTGAAGCTTTACCTCTGCTCACAGGAAACAGAATCCGTGACCATAATCATTAATCCTCATCTTTTCTTTCCTACATCTCCGGTGCTCCAACACTTTACATCTCTCACCTCTCCTCTACTTTCTCTGTTTACATCGTTCAAGTCTTTGTTGTCTCTTGATCCCTTTGGTCCCATTGATCTTTACCTCCTCCCCCTAGCCTTCATCCTTCTTTCCCACCTTCTTTCATTTTCAGTCTCTGCATCATCCGTCCCCTCTCAGCTCATTATTCCTTCTCAACTCATCCATTTCTCCTCCACGTCCATCATCACTCCTTGTGTCTCTTTTAATTCCACCTGCACTGGTTCACCTCAGCTCTCAGCCTCACCATGCAGCCCACCACTCTCCCATCTCATCCACTTATCTTCCTGACACATTCATCCACACTGTTGTCCTGTTCCTCTCTGCTTTTCCCCCTTCTGTGTCTTCTTATGCGCTGTTTGTAAAGATTTTTCAAAATCTAATTAGTGCATACTTGAGTTCAAGTTGGCACTTGGGCCAAATCAGAATCCCTCAAGGGGTTCCTGAGGTGTCGCGTTCAAGAGAGTGAGCCGGACACAAGCCAAAAACATGCTGTATCAGGTCACAAAAACGTGACAAAAACTGGAGAAATGAGGGTGGTCTAAACCTCTGGACCAGTAGTATAAATGTCTCTCAGTGTACTGAACTGGTATCCATGGATGCTGCTGCACCTGTTGAGACCTCTGAATCACAGCATCCTTCAAATCTGGATGGGAACTTTAATTGCATGGACTACTGCAAACCATGCAGGTTGTGTTCAGTGACAGACACCAGGCCCTTTCCTGTGTTGAGTCTGAAGGGAGACCTGGCTCCTCCTGTTAGGTATTTTTAGTCAGATAGAAATTGGATACATACTTTATGTATTAGAAATGTTTAGTGGAGATAGGATGTCTAGTTAGACTGTTAAATGCTTAGTCATGCTTATGAGTTTCTACAGGGTACATCTGGTCAAGGATAACTAGAGAGAAGAGTTGATGACTGTCAGCAGACAGGGGGTTTAATATTATTATTATGACATGTATAACTGTAGCCTTAGCCATAATATGTTCTTATGTTTAAGTCACGACATGTTACTAGAGGTCGTGAGAATGTTTTTAGCTACACACCACTTAATCAACAAACACACACACATTGATTTGCTTCATGTTTTGACTACTGCTATGACCAGCTGCAAAGCTGGTAACAGAGACGTCTCGGTTGATGTTTCTGTGTAGTATGGGGCTAGCCCAACCGAGGGGATATAATGTATAGGCCTGGTGGGTTCAGGGTCTTTCATCTTACATCTGCCTGCGAGCAGTTTGGAGGTGCAAGATACCTGAGCGTGTAATGTTAATTTTACCTGTGATCCTTTGAATAAATCAGCACTGTTTTGAAGTTACTTGGACTGTCTCATCTCTCAGAGTTAGCAATGGTAACAAGAACCATAGTCCTGCACTCCTTTAGGTCCAGTTTCAGGCAGCTGTTGTGTTGGACCAGTCAAAGGAAGGAGTTAACACAGAGCCCTCAGAGGCCCATCATTTCACCTCACCGCATCTCACAGA